TCTTCCTTGTCATCTCACTGTGTCCATGCTGGCTTTCTGCAGGTTGCTGGGCTGTCCTGAGCCCTTGGTGCAATGATTTTTCTCAGAAATACTCTTCCTCCTGCTGTTTGCTTAGCTAGCTCCAGCTTATCTTTTGGGTCTTAGCTTAGTGTCATTATTTTGTAATCCCTGATCGTGCAATTCTTTCATATATAAAGCACTCATTTTCTTCAGAACATTTACCAGTCTTTGTATCATGTATTTATTGTGTTTGTTTCATCTCCTCTTCTGTCTCCCATCTCCTCCTGTACTGTAGGATTTGTTAATGTGAAGGTTGCACCATATTCCCACAGCCTGGTTAATGTAGGGCTGGTAGACAGTTGGTGCCCAAAACAATGTGTTGACCACATGAATCACATACACGTGTGTCTTCTTGGGCTCCTACTGGCTTGCAAGTGTTGGTCTTCTACACTGTTCTGAAACAGCAGGAAGGGACAAGAGGGGTGACTCTTGAGGTTGGGAAGACCCAAAGAAAAGAAGAATTAGACCTGCAAGAGAAGAAGGGAAAAGAAGAAAGAGAAATATAAAAGGAATACAGGAAGTGAGTGGCAAAAGGAATTGGGAAGAGAAATGAGAAAAAGAGAGGCTATGATGAAATAGATGGGGAAGGGAAGGTAGATTAGAAGTGGTTGAGACTAGAGAAGAGACAGAAAAAGGAATAGGAACACAAAAGTAAAAGATAGAAAAGGAGAAGGAATTCAAAGGGGAGAAAATATAAGGAGAGAAACGTAGATGATAGTGAAACTGAAAAAGAGAAAGGAAATCAAGGGGAACGCAAAAAATAATGGAATCTGCTTTCTCTAAGAGCTGGGTGGGTGGCACTGCTGTGTCCAGCCTGTTCTGCCTCCTTCTTGCACCATGGGAGTCACTGTCTGGAGCTGAGGATGAAGCTGGGGAGAAGGAAGCTGCAAGCTCTGAGTAGTAAACCCTGTGTGGGCCCAAGTCCTCAGGCCTGAGCTCTCTGTCATGACTGCACCACCTTTGCTATGAATAGGTCCTATGTACAGAGGGCTTGCTAAACTAATTTTTGGAGAAGGAGAGAGAAAGAGAGAAGGGCAGAGGGAAAAAGAGAGTCTCACTGGGATATCTGTGATGCCATCATGTAACTGATGACCAAGGAGACATAAGTGGGGCTGCCATTCCTGTGCCAGGGCCCATGACTCAGATACAGAATGCATTTGTCTTCCCCCATTCATACACATACTCTCTCGTGTTAGACAATGTTGGGGATATGGAGAGTACAGGAAGACAGATCTTGTTTTCACAGCACTTAATGGAAATCTTACACAAAGGTGAAGAACTGGCCACCTGGTACCTTGTCACCTTTTATACTGACCATATAAAATTCTGATGGGATGGAACTGGTGATGGGGCAGGAGGCAGGCGGGGAAAGGGCAGAAGACTCTGAAGGGAATGTCTTCTCCTTCCAAAATCTGGCTTCATTCACCCTAGTTTATAAAGGTGAGCAGGCAAGTGTTCCCTGAGTGTGAGGGATAAACCACAATGGTCAAGTTAACACCCCTTTTAATGCCCATATCTACTGGGACGATATCAATGACATCAGTGACTGCACTTGTGATTTTTGAAAAAGCTGAATGTATGGCAGAGGGAGAAAGTGCTGATAAACCTCCTTGAGGAAAGGCGAAGTGAACTGGACTGTGTAGGAGAAGGGCTCTGTAAGCATGAACAGGGTTTGTCTGGAAGAGCAGGGCTTTCTAAGGAGAGGAACTCTGTAAGGTACAGGATGCCTTACTACTTTAAAACATTTTTAATGAAAAAAAATTTAAAGATAGAATCTCAGTATGTTGGCCAGGCTGGTTTTGGTCTTGGTCTTGGTCTGAAGGGATCCTTACTTCAGCCTTCCAAGTAGCTGCCGCCCTTGGCTAGGGCATTTTACATAGCAGCAGTGCCTTGTAAAGAGGAGGAGAGTTTTGCAAAGAGCAGCAGGGGTTTGTAAGGAAATGTGGGGCTTTATAGAAAGCACTGGAGTTTGTAGGAGCAGAGTTTTCTAGGAAGGAAAAAGGTTTCCTGGGAGGAACAGGGTTTATAGGATAAATGGGAATTTTCAGGAGGGACAAGCTTTATGTGGCGGAGCAGCGCTTTTTAGGAGAACCAGAAATTTTACGAGGCCACAGTCTTTTAAAAGCTGGACTTTGTCAGGATCTGGCACATCAGATGATGGAGAAGGGTTTGTGGGAGGAGCAACGTTTTGTAGAAGGCTTTTTAAGGACAAGGAGTAGCATGTAGTTGGGAGCAGCATAGTCAGGTGGAGAGATCAGTAAGGAGGAGGGAGGCTTAGAAGAAGCAAGGTTTGTAACCTCGAGCACAGCTCTGGAAGGACTGGGGCTTTGTTGGAGGAGCAGGATTTTGCTAATGTAGTTTAGTTATGAGAATGCAGTCAAAATAGCCTAACTATAGGGTCTCATTAAGGCAACAGGACACAGTTAAAAACTAACTCAAGCAGCTGGTTGAGCTTAGAGATGCAAAGGTAAACACAAGGAGAAAAGCTACAACAAAAAGGGAAATAAGGACCTTTCCTCCCAGGAAAAAGATATGTTAAGCTATTGACAGCTTCTCCCTCTGGACTTGGACTTTAACTGGACCGTTTCTCCCACCTCTGGGCCTAGACTTCAACTAGACTTTGAGAAAACACTAGAAATGCAAGATAATGAGTTTCGTTTTTTAACTGATTTCCTTTGAATGTCCCCCTCCTTCCATCTATAGAAGGTCAAGACAAAGGAAGCACGTGGGACTTCTTTCCTGTCCTGGTACCTCCCTAGTTTTTTATTTTAATTATTATTTCTAATACACACTCTCCTAAACTCTTCCTTTTGTCCTCAAATGTATTCCTCAATTTTGGGAGACAACTCAGGTTTATACAAAATTAACTGTTTTATGAGGAGGAACAAAGCTTTATAAGAAACCAGCTTTGTATGAAGAAACAGGGTTTGTAAGATGCATGGCGTTTTGTGACGAAGAGCAAAACCAGTGTGTTGTAGGGAGGAGGACTTTGTGAGGGAGGAGCAAAACTTAGTAAGGAAATCAGAGATTTGCAGAAGCGCTATGCTAGGCTATTTGAGGAACAGGGTTTGGGGAGTACATGATTTACAGGAAGGCAGGCCTGGTAGAATGACCAGGATTTTATACTAGGAGGTGCAGACTTGGTAGGAGAATCAGGCTTTTACAAAAAAAGCACTTGTAGGAGAGGCAAGGCTTAGTAAGAGGAATTCTTTTTCTCTGTATGAGGTACTAGGTAGGAGGAAGCATTAAGGTTTATAAGGAGTGTTCTTTGTAGGAAGAGCAGGGCTTACCCAGGAGTCTGGTTTGTAGGGGGAACAGGGCCTTCTAAGCCTCATGGGGTCTCTGCAGGGGACTGGTGCTCTGTAGGAGTGGGGCTAAGGAGTAGAGGGCCTTTGTAAGAAGCTGGGCTTTGTTGGATGAGTAAGGTTTTGCAAGTACTGAGGTTTTGTTATATGCAGGGGGGCTTATAAGGGATTACAGATTTGTTGGACTGTGGCTTTGGGAAGTGAAGGACTTGATAGAATAGGGCTTTGTAGGAGTTGCAAGGCTGTGTTGTCAGCAGGGCTTTGAGGGTGGAGTTTGTAGGAGGAGAAAAGTTTTGTATTGAAGGGGAGGACTGGAGACGTCTTTGTGAGAAACACAGTGTGTAGTTTGAAGAGCTGTAGTTGTTAAGGAGGAATGGGGCTCTACAGGGAGGGCTTGCTAGGGGGAGTAAGGTTTTGTAGAACATCAATGCTTTATAAGCAGGAGCATAGCACTGTAGGAGGAGTGGGATTCGTAAGTAGAATTACAGGGTTTTAGGGATTTATAGGAGCAATGAGCATTGTGATGAGGTACAGGTTTGTGAAAAGAAAGTTTCTTTTCAGTGAGTAGTATTGGTGTCTACTTGTCCTTTCTGGGCCATCATTCTCCATTTGATTTTTGGGGTAACCCAGGTTCCAGGGCAGGGATTTGGGTGCTAAGCAGGGTTTTACCTGGCTTCCAGACCAATACTACCTGCAAATTCCCCAGCTACATAACATACTAAGCTTCTCAGACCCCGCTTGAGTACAAGACTCTTCCATATCTTTCTTAACTTAGTAAAGAGATCAGAGCTGAGCCTGTGTTAATAAAAAACATTTCTATGACCTGGAACATTTCTATGACCCTTTCCCTCAAATGGAGATGTAGAAAAGTTGAGAAGCAGGTTACAAAACTGCCTTCTCTTCCTGCTTGGAATACAGGTTCACCAGCACTCCTCCAGCACTCTTTGCAGTTGGACCACGTAATGGCCAATGACATGAGAGGAACGGAGTGTGCCTGCATGTGTGTGCGTGTGCGTTTTACATTTTGAGCACTTCCCAAGGATGATCATTCATGTTCTTTCCCATTTTGCTTCAGCTATAGTGAGTGTAACTATAAAAGATGCAAGTCAAATCCTGCTGTGAGGAAACCTCTTTCCATTCTCACTGAAGAGCTGGGGATTCCAGCCACCTTCATGGTTTCACTAACCACAAAGGGAAGACAAGAATCATCACTACTTTCCTGACTTGAAGATCTTGCTTTAGCCTCATTAGAATTCCTGCAGCAAGTGTACATGGAGGATGTAATCAAACAAAGCTAAATTCTCTAACTGGCTGAAGGAAATAGTCTTTCAGTTTTCTTGCGCCTTTCTTTGATCTCTAATTACTTCCTAAAGATTCTTTGGGTTTCACAAAGCAAGAAATTCTTCTACTGTGTGTGTGTGTGTGTGTGTGTGTGTGTGTGTGTGTCTAAGAAAGACCTGATGGACAATCTGCCATCTTAAAATTAAATAACTGAAGTATCTTTAGAAAATGTTAATGTTAATGATCTCAAATACTCAACAAATTTCATTAAAATTTGTTACTGTACTTAAATGACTTTTTAAATGGAGGTTTCAATCTATAGCTACTGATATTAAATAGATGACAAACAATAAATTATGCAATCAAATTTTTAATAACAAAGATACTATTTTAACATGGTCAAATATATTTGGCTAAGTCCAGATTTAAAAAAAAGTATCTACCTTGAACAGTACAATCATACAGCATTGTACAGAACATTCCATAGATCAACAGAAAATACATTTAAGCACAAAAATAAAAAATATTTAAAGAGAATCTCTAAGCAGCATTTTACTTCTGCAAAACAGACATATATCTTGTACTGATTAAATATCTACAAGTGCTTTTCCTTTAAAAAAATACATATATTCTTAATAGACTAAGTCATTAACAATGACCTGGTAAATCTTTCACTTCAATTTGAATGATTTATAAGCTAAATCTTACAACCACAAAAAGGTTTTTATTTGTATTAAGATGTTACCACTTTTGACAAAAGCTTAAAATATCTCAAAGTAAAACTAGCAACGTAACTTTACAATATATTCTATGATAGCTTTATTTATTGTGAGGGCTACTCTAAAAAAACTGATGATCGCTGTTGTGCTGCCCGATGCAGGAAAACAGCAGAACACTGGTACTCCCTCCCCACAAGCTCTTGTCATGGACCACAGCTTCATAAGGACACTTAGGCCCCCATCCCTATTCTAAAAATACAGCAAAAGAAACTGACACCAAGCAATACTGGCTGATCCCATTACATTTTAATGTGTAGAATTCCTGCTCCAGTGGACTGATGTGAAGTGTATGGATAAATAAATTAATCTGCTTACTATCTCTACATTACCCAGAAATATTTAATCATTTGTATTAGTTTCTTATCTATAAGATGGAAGAAAACTGGACCCATGTTTCACTTGACTGTAGACTTAAATATAATTAAAATTAAAAAGCATTTCTGAAAAACCAGTCTCAGTTTTGAATCATAAAAAAGGAGCATGAGTATACAGACACATTTGGATGAGCATTTAATGTAATTAAAAGTTATTTTTAAGCTGAATTTTAAAACTTTCTTAAAAGGAAGTGCTCAAGCATTTTAATTTTACTTGAAACTATAGCAACAACAAGTAAACTTTCAAATTACTGGGAAAAAAACATTATTAAAAAATACCAAAAAAAAATAGAACAATGAAAACTGTACTACATAAGTACATTTTAATGAACTTTTGACCTCCTGTTTTCCATTAAAATACTACTGAACTAGGTATATCAAGTAAATCCAGAAACAACTGTCCATTTTGTGCTTTGAGAGGGCTTTTGAGTCTTTAATATTTTAAAAATCTTGTCTTAATATTTTTTAAATCTTTCATAAACCACATTTACCAGACATATTCCTTACTGCTCTCCAGATTATAGGTATATACATCTTACAATAATGTTAATAACAGTTCAAATTTTTATGTTTCTACTCTGGAAAGGTTATGGCAAAATAACTGATGTTTGAAATTAATATAATCAAACAATATTTTAGTGGCATAAAGCTTAGCTTGCTGGAGAATTCCTTATTCTGGACCAGGGTATGTAATAGAATGTGCATTCATTTTTATCCTATATAACAAGGTTTAACTAGTGATCTATGAGCAAACTTTATAATAGTTTTACCTTACAAGAGAAATGACATAAAGGTCCATCTCTTTTGGTATATAGAGATGCTCTTGTTTTGTGATTCATTTTGCCAAATGTGGATGTAAAGGCTAAATTCTAATAACAATAAAGTAACTGCTGAGACACAAGAAACATAGGACCTAATGAAAATTTTGTTTCTGAACATAGAAAAAGTATTTGTGTAAATTCAGAAGAAGGTACTATGTTCTACACAAATAAGCATGTCAGCACTGTTACCAAAATCTATCTTTAATAAAATTTTACATATTACTAAAAGCCCAGGAGCTAAATAAGAGTAATTTATTTTATATTGCCTCTGTGGAATAAAAAGCATCTCAAATTAAAATTTAAAAATCTCAATTTCAATTTTTTTTCAAAAGTATGCACTTTTTCCACTTTTCCTTCAGAGGAAAGCTATTTGTTGTACTTATCTCCTTCTCACATTTGAGAATTTAAGACATGTCAGATGGTGACAGATAACTGAACGTGTTTGAAAGGAAATGTGCTCTGGTCATTTCAAGAAAAACCTACATTTGACTAGTCTCACCAAGCAAATTTAGTTTAAAGCCTTTCTTTGGTGATATTTTAGCAATTAATCAAGGTTATTGCCTGACTATACAAAATTAAGTCACAATCTAAAATATTCCAACCCCTGAACAGTTAAAACTGTTTTCCAACATGGTTACTAATTAACAGTAAAATATCTTTGGTGATACCTATATTCTTATGAAAATCTTTGAAAAAGTGATTACTCTTAACTTGCAAGTGCCTATATAAATATGAAACCACTCATAAGGGACAGATACAGAAAACTCAAAATTTATGCAGTAAATCTAAAACAGAAATGCATGTTAGCAATGAGGCACTTTCTCTTTAATATTTAATAAAGCTAAACAGTTCACAATAGTATATAACACATTTTTCTTGAGGAGTTAGTTTAAATTAACATAACACTTGACTGTATAATATAAGTAAGCAAATTTACTACATTTATAAAATGTGGTATATTAGTATGGGATAGATGTTCAACGAGTAAAGAAATAGTATACTTTTCTAAAAGTAGCTAAAAGACATTACTCAAGTTACCCAACCTCCAGACTCTTAACTCATCAATAAATCTTTTTTTATACTAAGTATCTTTTTAACTTAGTGTCTTGTTAAGAGAAAAGGCCATATTTTGATTTCTCTATTAATTAATGTGACTACTGCAATTTAAAGTGATATTTATAAACCACATACAATCTTTATTATCTAAAGTTCCTTGACCTATTCATATCTGATTTTTAAGGCAGATAGAACAGAAAACAGTTTTCTACGGAATAAAATTCTTTCAGTTTATTAAGAAACAACAGATTAATGAATAATTTAGGTTTATAATGTGATTTAACAGATGCAGACCATATAAAGGTGGTTTTTTTTTTTAGAGCACTCTGTATTTATAAAGCTAACCAAAAAAGGTGCTTGTATATTTTCTCTATACCTGGTTTATTACAAATTCTATAATCTGATATACGGAATAATTGGCTGGGAATTCAGTGTACTACTAGCCATGAAAGTAGTCACATACTTGGAAACTCATTGTTGATATACTAAAAGAGGTCAGCTGAAGAAGTCTAGGTTTCTAGTAGCAATACCACAGTACTTAGGACCATCAAAAAAAAAATGTTCACCTATCCTCAAATGACAACTGATGCCCTTCTTTATGTAAGATTTTTACACATTTTGGCACATATTCTTCCACTGCATTTCAATAAAAATCTTAATGCATTAAAATTAAATAAAGGAATTTTATATAAACTATTCTCAATTCCGTAACTGTTTCCCTAAACACTTTCTTAGAGAATGGTAGAATTACATATGATCAGGCAACAGACCAAATTTAAAGAGATCTTCAATCTAAAACTTATTTATGGCCATAAGGTTTGACTTGGGAGTCAAAATATATAAGTCTTATTTGTGGTTTTCAAAATGCACTCAATTCATTTTGAGTTAACTAAAATTACCTTCCATATGTAAAATACTATTTAATCATTGATCTAGTTGTGACAAATTTATACTAATTTTAAAAATTAAAAAAATATCTAGGAACTGGATTTCACAAAAAAAGTGTCTGTAGTTGGATAATAAATTCAGTTTTGGGTTGGGTCTAATAGTTTTTCCAAGCATTTAATGAAAATAACATTTTAAATTTTGTGTTTTTAAATTTTAAATTTGTCCATTTAAAATTTTTCCCTTCCAAGAACTAACAATCTAAAAAAACAAAGTTAAGAAAATACTGCCATAACCTTCTTCACAAGTCAGAACAACAGAAACTTTTATATAGATTTTTTTGACTGAAGATATAAAAATTATGAATTTTCAGTCTTATACATTATGAAATGCATTGAGATTGAGCTGTATTTTGTATGTTTCTCAGAGTAACGATGTTTTAGTTTCATGAAGCAATTTAGAATTTAAAAGGCAATAAAATTTGTGATACATTTTACTAGAAAATGTAGCACTTCTCTCATGTATACAGTATAAAAGCTATGTGTTTAACACATAGATTGTGCTCATGTCAGATTTCTAAAACAAGTAGATTTCCCTAATTTCCAAGCATTTCCCTAATTTTCAGAGGTTAACATGTTTGTTTCAAAAGCAATTGTTAAAACATTTTCCAAGAACATTTTTTGGAAAACTGTAAAATTTTAAAAGGTTTAAAATAAAAAATTTTACATAGTTTAAGGTAACAACACTTTCTGTGACTTGCAGATTAATCCCAAAACAAATGGAAGACTTAACAAAACTGCAAAATCAAGGAAATTTATCGCAGTTTTGAATTTTAACGAACTCATGTATAAAACAATAATCCAATTTCCCTCTGATTACAGTATCTAAAATAAAATATTCTCAAACCATTAATTTTGGTTAGCATATTTATCTACTAAACTGTATCTATTTTAGGCATATGTTTTGGAAATGTGATAATTAACATTTTTAACCTGCAACTGTTTTTGAGACATTTGAAATCCATAAAATAGCTAACATTATCTGTTCTAAAAGAACCTAATATTTAAAATCATCATTCATAACCTTCTGCATGCCACAATAACACACACCTAAGGCCAACATAAAAGAAAAACAATGTATTCATTAAATGACAACAACAATGTAATGGTACATACATAAAATGGGCGATGCAATGAAGTTTCATGAAGCAGCACCCACTTGTCATAAGGCATTATGAAAGATGAACCTTACTTACACATTAATTTTATTAGAAGTAAATGTGATCAGCTGCCAACACTGCAAATGGTTGTGAATCTAACTTCAGTTGTCAAAAAAATTATACATTTTGATCTGGAGGGCTAACATGCCTTCCTGTGCAACTGGTAGACCACACAGACAGATGCTTCAAATGTTGACAATTATGGTGTGCTCCAACATTAAATAATTGGAATTCTTCATAAAATGACTTGCACACTCAAGAATGAACTATTTTTTACACAAAAAGCTTATTAGCAAGAATAAGAAGGTGGCTGAGAAACCACTTTTCTAAATATATTTCCACACAAAATAACTTCCACATATAATTATCAGGTTCTTGTACAGTACTCTATTTAAACAATTAATAACATAGTAAGTATGTGAAAACTGCAACACCACAATGATTGAGCCATATTACTAGTGTAATTAAACATTAGGACAATCTTAGAACAGGCAAGCAAAATATTCAGAAGGCTGAATCATGGCTGCACACCATGATTTCAACCATGACTTGTACACTGTGAGACAGCACAAATACCTTATGCAGATGGTTCAGTAGCAGAATGGCACCTGGTTTGCTTTTAATAGAAACAACATGAATGCAACTGACAATTTAGAGACAGACAATGGCCTTATTTGCATGCTGAAAATCTGATTGTGTCCCTCTAGTCCACACACCGTTCACTGTGCAATCTGTCGACGAGTAAACAAATAGTGCAGGATTCATTTCAGTGAAATCTAGGCCCCTTGGTCTAACCGAAATCAATTCTTGGTCGATACTGCAATACCATAGGGTATGACTATAAAATAAAAACAGATGATGAATGAGACTGTTTGCATAACAATAACATAGTTTTATACAATGCAGTTTATATACAAAATTTTAAGAATTCAAAGTCATAATTTACAATATTTCCTGATAGCAGTGATGACAAAAGTAATGATTTAAGTTGCCATTTAAGATTTAAGTACTACTATTAATATTGTCATTTCTTTTTTGGTACCGGGGATCAAATTCAGATCCTTGCGCTTGCAGGGCAGACGTCAGAACCACTGAGCTAAATCCCCTGCCCCAATACTATCATTTCTTAATGGTTACCATTATTTTTCCTGAGTCAGTCAAGTTTTCACTAACATGAAGCAGTGGTCAAGTTCTAAGGTGTATAATGTCCCATGGAGGTTGCTTATGTGACCACACCAGTGGATTACTTAGGGAGAGGCAGGCCCTGTTGAGACTGAAAGCTATATGTCCTGCTTCCAAGTATCCCATTAGCAACCCTGCATGGCTGAGCAAATTGAGCTGGCAGGGGGAGAGTCTCCCAGAGCTGGTGCTGGTGAGAACACACTGAGTCACACATTAGCAAGAGACCCCCTAATCTATGAAACTGCACTAGTTTTCACAAAGCAAAAAATTTTACACGTTTGATACTTGTTCCTTTTTAGCATTTAAAATTTATTTTAATAGTCCTAAAAAATATTTGGAAAAGCAAGTAACTAATTGTCACATGAAGTATTTAGGTCACTGTCTTCTTTCAATAGTGGACTGGTATTATTAAATGTTCTGATTTGACTATTACATAATATAAATAAAAGGTTCATAATTGTCCTTGGTATTGCTCTATCTAGAAAAGCCATCATACATCTGGCTACCATACAGTGCTAGAAAGGGAAGAGCTTGCAGATAAACGCATATGCCAAGGTACCTCTGCATCTTTTTTTACCTCTACTTTTTCCTATCATATAAAAACAAAATATCACAAAGTCAGAAAGGGTCTGGAGAAACAATGATTTTTCTTTCATACAGCTGCAGGGCCCCTTAAAAAATGAAATTTAAGGAGAAACTTTTATGTATTCAAGAAAAGGCTAGACTACCACCAACTGTTATTTCATCTTAGCGGAGGAAAATGCAAAAATCCAATACAGACAATTTTGTTCTTTTATATAGATTAAAGAAATAAACTGAGATTCTATGATTGTTTTGCCATTTATAATGCTTTCAATTCACGATAGGACAGGAAGGTAGGAATAATCCTCCAGGTCTTGGTCTTCTAGCTGAAGAAGTAAGGCAGATGGCACTACCAGCTTTCTAAGGGCTTGCATTAAATCTCAGCTTCTCAAGGTTTCCAAGGTCAAAAATTATTTTGGTTTTAATTTTACTTTTTATTTTAAATTTTATTCTGTTCTTGCAGAATCAAAGCATCTTGGAATGGGGCACAGAAGTTTGTAATTTATAAAACTCTGGGTGGTTCTGGAGCTCAGCCAGATTATGAGGCCACTAACATAGATCCTATCCTAACTTTACTAATTCCCCATTCTACCTCACTCCAACCTACAACATGCCTTTTACTTTCAAGTTTACTTTCTATTCCTGACTGTTAAATCTGCATACTTTCTGTAATTAAGGTCCTCATTTTAGAATACATTCATCATATACAGAAATATTCACCAACAGTTCTACAAGGGATGAAAGTAGAGAAGGAAGTAGAATGGCTTTGTTGACACTGGTCTTGTTTTACTGAAGACTGGAAAATACAGAAAAATACCAAGGAAAAAAAGGAAAAATATTTAAATTCTATTATCTGAATGTAACCACTATATAATTTTAGTGTATAGCCTAATCTTTTTATCTACACTTTTTTTCCCCAAAACTGGAGTCATGATAAATATATTGTTTGGTAAATAATTTTGTCCATTTAAAATTCTGTAAATGTATTTCCATACCATTTAATACATTTTGACACGATCATCTTTAATGGCTATGCATTATGCTTTTTAAAGAAACAAATCATGAGTATATCTCTTTTTGCTGTACATTTGAGATTGTTCCTTTTTTGCTATTATAAATTGATTTTCATCTAATGATCTATATTCTTCTCTACAAGACAGATTCTTAGAAGTGAAATTACTAGTTCAAATAACATACACATTTAAAAAAGCTTTTTGATAAATACTATTATACTGGTCTTCAAGAAAGCTGTTCTATTTTTCCAAAAGAAATGAGTGCCCATTCTTCCAGAATCTCATCAATAATGCTATTATCCATTACCCATTTTAATTTGGCAATTTAATAAACATAAAATACTATTTTATTTGACTTTTAAAGAATTTCATCATTTGTATATGCTTATTAGCCAATTGTATTTCCTTTTTTTGTAACTTTTTTTCCCCAAGTTAGGCTGTCTTATGGATTTATATGAAATTTTAATGTAATAAGAACATTAAACCTTTTTCTGTCACATATTGCGAATATTTAGTATTGGATTTTTGAGCAATCTCCATTCTGAGATCATTTACTTAACTATATTTTCTTCTTAAGTCTTTTTTGATATCATGTTTAATATTTACCATTTTAAACCATCAGAAAGTTATACTGATGAAAATTGTGAGATTTGGGTTGAATTCTCCCCTCAATGTCAGTACAATTAACAAAAACAAGCCCCACTAGATCTGCACCCAACCTCCAACATGCCATCTAAGTGCGCAACTGCCCACCACCCTCTTCTGTACCATCCACTCCAGCACCATGGGCTCCTGCAACTCTCAGAGCCAGACAATTCTCTGCTCAGGGCCTCTGCAGTGTGTTCCTTTGGCACCAGACACTGACATGCCAATGTCTTTCATTTCCTTTTGATCAAAAACTACCTTGTCAAAGAGGTCCTCTTCAGGTATCTTATAAAAATATTCTATTTACCTACTTGAAATTTTCTTTCAATTTACTTGTTTGTTCTTTGTCTGATAGTCAGTAGAGTGTAAGTTCTATGAGAGTCCTGTGTTCATTTTCACTTCCCCAGGGAAGAATGCCTAGTGCATACCAAGTGCTCAATAGATACTTGATAAGTTCATCTTTTTTTCTCTATTAATCTGAAATATTGTCTTTTATAAACTCCTATATACTAGAGTCCCTCCCTGAGATACCTTTTTTATTCATATGCCTATGTTTAGTTTATATGTCTATATTGAAGTCATTATTTTTTATTCATGTCTATGTTGACCTTAACTATTTCAGCTTTATAGTACATTTTAATATGAGCAGTACTCTTTTTTATTCTTTTATTACTCATTTGAAAAATAACTGACCAGAAGCATTTGTTTGTATTTCCTGTGAACTTTAGAATAATGTTGTCAAATTAAACAAGAATCTGATAAAAGAATGTTTGGAATTACATTTGACTTCATGATTTAATCAAGGGAAGAACTGACATCTCTGTAATACTCAACATTCTATTTAAATTTCCTGTGTGTGAAACGGAATTTTGGATATACACAAACTGAACTGCATAAGAACCAAATCAAATTTCCCCATAAGGTCAACAACGAACCTATCCATTGAATTTGATTTGGTTCTTGTCTAACTCGGTCTGTGACCAGAATTGTGCAAAGAATCAAGTACGGGAACGGAGGTAACACTGTATGTGAGAAGGTCTTTGTGGGAAATGTATAGCGAAGTACCTCTCCTGACTTACTTTCAAATGGTTCCATTAAAAACAAGAGAGAGAGAGAGAGAGAGAGAGAGAGAGAGAGAGAGAGAGAACAAGAACACAGTAAGAAGAGATGGGAAGAGGAAGAAAGGGAAAGGTGGCAGAAAATGTGGTTAAATGTTAATTGGTAAATCTAGGTAAAGGATAGTCCTGTAATAATTTCAACTGTATTGTTCTGAAAAACTTAAAAAGAAGTTCGAAGAAAAAATCAGTACCTAACACTGAATTTTAGCAAAGGCAGTCTCAGCATTTACTGATTTTTTTATTGTGCATATATAAAATATAAATATAATATAGATATATATATCCACACAAGCATACATACATGCTTAATATTGTGGGGGAGATAAGTATGTTCTCCCCAGAACACTAAGCCATTCTTGCATTTCTGATCTACTAGGTTTTGGCTTATTATTCTTCTAGTATACTATTACAGAATATTATTTAGTATACTTAGTATGTTTCAGTATATTATTTATCACCTTTTTTACTTATATTCAAAATTAGATTTGGTATTAGCTTTCTCATTATGGGTTCCCTGTCAGTTTTTGCTATCATACTTATGTTACTTTTGTGAAATGAATTCAGAAAAATTTCACGTTTTTCAAAGATTTAAAACAAAATGTGGGCTGAGAATGTAGCTCAACGGTGCCTGGCAAGTGCAAGGTCCTGAGTTCAATTTCCAGTACCAAAATCAACCCCCCTAAACAACAACAACAACAACAAAAGCACAAAATGTATAGTATAGGTATAAAGATTGATCTTTTCCTTGAAAATTTGGAGAATGTAACCAACCACAAAATCATGTCAGCATGTTTAGAGTAAGTTAATTCTTTAAATTTTTGTGCCTTTCATGAATTAGTGATTTAAATTTTCTTTCTTCTTGGGTAAATTTTGGTACACCGTTTTCATAAAAATTGTCTATTTTAGAAAATGTGCGCAAAATTTAAAATTTTAATAGTATAAAGCTATATACATGATTTGTTCTTGTGTTTAAAAAGTGATTTTTGTTTTCCCTAAAAAATTTCTCCCTGTTTTTGGCTAAAGATGAAGCCTATTAACTACAAATTTTCTTATAGGACTAATATCCATAATAAAGTGTAAAAAAAGAGGATTTTATATAGATATAAAAATCTGTTTTAGTCAGGCATGGTGCCACCTATCTTTACCCTCAGTACTTTGGGACCCTGAGACAGAAGGATTGAAAAGTTTAAGCTCCACCTGGGCAATTTAGTAACTCAGTGAGACCTTCTCTCAAAAAAATTTAAAAGGGCTGGGAATATAAACTCAGTGTGAAAGTTTGAGGTTCAAGCCCCAGAACTGCAAAGTCTTATTCTGGTTCTCTAATACTTCAGAGTATGGTTTAAGAAGATCTTTATTTTTGAGGAATCAGACATAAATACCAAGAATAGAAGCACAATACCATGTATGTATGGGCTTACAGCTATAGACATGGTTTATCACTACAATTCACCATCCCAAAGTCAGCTATGATGCCTAAAGCTTAAACATCTGTTCACCTCAGATTTTTACAAATTTTACCAACTCGAATTATTTGCTCACCCTTATCTGTATAATGTAAGGAGAAAGATGATTTTGTTTCCTAAATGATTTTTTCCTTGGCTTTTATAGATCATTGCTGAAAAACTATGATTTAAAACAATATGTACTGGGTCGGGGGATTTAGCTCAGTGGTTCCGCTGCCTGCCTCCCAAAGTGCAAGGTCCCAAGTTCGATCCCCGGTACCAAAAAAAAAAAAAAAGTATCAAAAAGCACATATTTTAATGAATGAATGCATGAGCATTTCTGTATTGTAGCACTGACCAAATGACAGGGAAATTCTAGACTGCTAATTAAAAATTTTTGATTAGTGATTTGAAGTATTCTTTTAATACTTAATATACACTCATTTGTATCTATTCCCAAATGGCACACCAAAGTTTACTAGTTTAGTTGTTTCCTAATTCTCCTTTTTTGGCTCTAGGGAAATAGAATGAGGATTACCTAATTACTGGGATAAAAGACCAATGGATATTTTAAAGAAATTCTGTGATTAGTCCATGAGATTAAGGTTGATCATGGACCATCTCTGTACTCAACAATAATCCTCATTATAATAAACTTGGTCTCTTCTGTTTTCTACATTTTTATAATGTATTTTTATTAAACTTTCCTTAGACATATGTTCAAGTATTCTCAGTACATTACAAAATTAGCTCACTAACATGTCAAAACACAAGTAACATGCTAAGGGCAGGGCCTAATAAGCAAGCTCATAATTAGATTTAGCTGTTGTTACTTACAGTCACCTAATTTGGCATTTCATCCTTCACTTGTAAATTAACTCATTAAAAAAATAATGCTTATACAAAGAAGGTAACATCCCAATCCAATATGGGTCAGATATTTCTTTTTTTCTTTTCTTTTTTTTCTGGTACTGGGCATCGAACTCAGGATCTTGCACTTGCCAGGCAGGCATGGCGCTGCTGAGCTACATCCCCAGCCTGGATCAGATATTTTTTAAGGGCTAAAAATGGTAGTTATTTAAAATTCCTGACTCATAAATAATGGCTTTGACATTTAGACAATGGGAAAATTTGTCTAAGTTTTGAAAAGATTAAAAAAAAAACATTAATTTTACATAGTGACACATCACAGGAAGTCAAGTTTGGGACCAAAATGATCACTGACCACCAGGGCAATATGTACCGTCGTGAGTGCCTCTTACCTGATACAAAGGGCCATCCTGAGAGCAGACTTGCGAAGCTGAGCAGTTCAGACACCGAAACTGCGGAGGAGATGAACTCATCAGATAAGAGGCATCCACAACTGGATACATATTTAAAACTGATTATTTAAAATTATTTAAAATATTTTAACGTCAAACATAAGAGGCAACATGATTAATTTTAAATAAACACAGAAAATGGTAGTTGTTTTTGAAAACGTAGATTTAATAACTTAGTGATTGATAAAATTTAGCTTTAAGTGATTTCAGCATCTAGCTGTGAGATTACTATTCTGCAAATATCAAAATGGGGGCCTATCTTTTTCATATCTTTTTCAAACACTAATTCCTGGGGAAATCCTCACCTAATACACAAGGGACAGTCTCTCTTCCATTCCTTCTGGTGGACAATCTCTCCTAGGTTTCTTCTTTACCCCTCTTTTCAAGGAGATCAGATCTCTAAGTGAGGCATAGAATTTCACTCAACCTGTCGGAGATCCACTTTCTCTTCTTCATATTCCTCAGATTAGATTATTAGTCTAAATCTATGTTAATAGCTTTAAGTTAGGAGTTCCTGAAGTCTATTTCATGTTCATATTTGCAATCTTTTGTTTGTTACCAGGAATCGAACTCGGAACCTTGCACTTGTGAGGCAGGTGGCAGAACCACTGAGCTAAATCCCAGCCCTGTATTTGCAATCTTAACAGCTAATGTCCAGAACTGTTACACAACAGCCACCCAATAAATATTTTTATGAGTAAATCAACAAGTGAGCATATTTAAAAAATTATGAGTAGATTAATTTGTAAACTCCTACTTTTTATCAATTTAACCACTCATATTAAGAAAACTCATTCCCAAGTTTGATTTTAAAATTTAAAATATTATGCTAAACACATTCAATACAAATATAATTTTAATTGTAATTAGAGTATAAAATATGAAGTGTATACTTTAAAATTATGCATATATAAATTCAACATTGCATACTATTCAAAATGGAATAAATTACAGTGGACCCTTGTCTTATGAACTCAATTTGTTCACAAGTGCTGGTTGTAACTCAAGTTGGTCAACTGAAGTTTCAGGTTCCTCTATACAGCCTTCAAGGTCTCTTTCCTGTATACAGGTAGATCTCAGTGTCCTTAGAGACACGATGGCCCAGGATTTCTCAATTAACCCCAAACAGGAAAGGATGTTGTAATGTTCCTTCCAGAACTCTTTAAGGGTTAAATCTGTATCTGAGACCACGTGGAAACACAAGTGGCTGGCATTTGGGCTGTAACTCAAGACTTTGTAAGTTAAAACTAAAATTCTGGCCATAACCCAAGTTGTTCATAGGTTGTTCATATGTATGTCATAACTCGAGGGTCCGCTGTATATAAAAAGTGTGTGTTGTAAATTTACTGGGATAAGTCTAATGTGCCACAGTAGATTTTTAAAAGATATATTCTAAGGAGATTATAAATTTTCTACTTCCCTAAAATATTTTTGTAATTTTTTTCTTTAGAACTTGGTCCTCAATTCTGTGTACAGTGTTCATCAACATGCTGTAAGACATGCCCAGCAGTGCTATCCTTTGGGGACCTTCTCCTCTTTGAATAGTCTCCCAGCTATGGCCTATCAGAATTTGCCTAACTATTCAAGTTGGCAAAACCCATTCATCAAGACCACAGAGTTAAGGTAGGGAGAGGCATCTTCACTAATTCTTTTTTCTATTAATTTCTTTGGTATCAGTCGAGATGGATTATGTTTATTTTTCCTAAAAGTGCCAGATAATACAAATTAAGCAAAGGAAGGCAAGCATGGTAGAGTCACTTTTGGTGCTAGATTGGCAAAAGTTGCTGAAGGAAAAGAAACTAACCAGGATTATTTTGGCGGGGCTGGGGGGGGGGGTTGCTGTCCTGAGAGTGAGTACTTCACTTACTCTAGAAAAGTAGGAGGAACATGAGTATGTGATTAAAATTCAGGCTGAGTAGAAAGATACTGACGGCAAGCTCTCAGAGGTGGAATTAGGTGAAGGAAGAGAGAACTACAATCAAAATGAAAGTTAACATAAGCTATTACTAAAATAATTAATGTTTATTATGTCAGGCATTCTGCTGAGCATTTAATTCTTGCTGAATATTTTGGAATAGGTGCTATTACTCCAATTTTAAGGATCAAAAACCTGGGTAAAACTAGGAAGCAAGACATAACTGGGGGAAAACAGCTGCAACATATAACGTAAAATTAGTACTGCAAACATGTACAAATAAAAACAAAAAAGTAAAAAATATTTAACAAAAAGTTCATATTCAGAATAAAGAGTTCATAGAAATTAATGAAGAAAAAGGTAAACTTGGTGGTCAAAAAACTCCAAGGCAATTAATATGGAAGTTATATCAAATTGATAATATGGAGTGTTGGTAAAAATATCAGAAAACGAACACTGGTATAATTACATGTTGCTAAACCTCTTGAGATGACAGTTTGTCATTATCTCTCAAAATTTAGAACATGCATACTCTGCTGTAAATCTACTTCTAGGAATCTAGACAATGGATATGCTTGCACATATGCAGAAAAACATGTAGTAGTACATTATGAGCATGGCTCTAATGTCAAAAAACTTGAAAAAAAATCTAAATTTCCACAAAACTATTGTGTTAATTAAATATGCTACAGATATACAAGTCAAATTCTATCAATATATTAAAAAATATTTCAAAGTTTACCGATTCTCCAAGACATCAAATGAGAAGAAGTAGCTGCAAAACAATACATGGAATGCCATATATATTTAAAAAACTGTGATGAACACTGGCATGGAATATTGTATTATATATAAATCATATATAATTTTTGCAGTACTGTGGATTGAACTGAAGGCCTCAAGTATATTAGGCAGCAGCTCTATCACTGAACTATATATCCCCAACTCTATTTATTTGTTTGTTTCGATACAGAGTCTCACTAAGTTGCTCAGGCTGGCCTCCAATTTGTGATCCTTCTACATCAGCCTCTGGAGTAGCTAGAATTACAGGCATGCACCACCACGTCTGGCTATTTTTTCAAAGTATATTTTTCTCCCACTAGAAGCAAAAAAAAAAAAATCAATGACAACTTTGAGTGTAAGAATATTGAGGCAGCAATATGTACTGAAACATTTCTAAGAGCTAGCTAAATTTGACCAGATGTTTGTTTTGATTCCTAAATATAAAAATCTTTCAAAAAGGCATCACAATAAAAACAAGGTTCCAGAAAGGGCTGAGCCCAAGAAAAAAGGCTAAGCCTAAAGTAGAACTACTGTATAATAAAGAAAAGCAGGGCCAGGGATTTAGCTCAGTGGTTTCGCCACCTGCTGCACAAGCACAAAGACCAGAGTTTGATCCTTGGTACCAAAAAAAAAAGAAAAGCAGTGGTACTGAAGCTGGGTGCTTCAGGGAGATATCCTACTACTTGAGAACTGGAGGCAAAATTAATTTGCCTGAGATTCTTCCTAGGAGGCTAGAAATAGGACACAGGGGTAGTCTGAACATGGAGTATCCTTGTCTGAGGCAAAAGACTCAGAAGGTTGTGTCCAAGAGGAAAGAAAACTAGTTTTACTCAGAGACATAAGCAAAGCATATTGAACATACAAGGAGATATCTTGATGGCACTCCACAGAATATTGGACTGCAAACATGCCAATTCCAGCCCAAACAACACAGAAATATAACTCAGTGTCAATTACAGTCCCACTCAAAAGGTCACTTGGGAGAATAAATGGGGAAAATCAGTCAACACAATTAAAAAAAAATAGGTGACTTTTTTTTATTGTGGTACTGTACTATTAGGAACTAATATATATCACCAAGCAACCTAGAAAGGCCCAACTATTTGCCTTATAACCTATTAGTTTGAACTTTAACCAAACTTACCCCACAGAAACTGGCCCATTAAAGGCACATAGTTATGAGATTAGATTTTTATAAGATCTATTAAGATGTATAATGCTGGTTTAACAAAAGATTCGCTTAAAAAAAACAAGAGTATCTAGGAACATAAACACACATGATATATAGTGTTTATACATTTATATTTATGCATACATATGCATACATAATGGTGACATTTCATAGCAATAGGGTAAAATATGGATTATTTAACAAACTGTATTATTTTTTTCTGGTACTGGGCATCGAACTCAGGACCTGGCGCTTGCCAGGCAGGTGCGGCCCCACTGAGCTACATCCCCAGACCCAACAAATTGTAATTTTTGATTAAAAACTTCAGAATAAATTACTCTTAACCTTACTGTAAGTATGTGTGTAAATAAACCAATCCCAGGTGGATTAAAATGTTTAATATTAAAAGTACTAGAAGCAAGTGAAAGAACCATATTGTGGTCTTTAGTTTAGGAGACAAGCCAATGCCAGCCCCAAGCAGAGCTAGTTAGCAATGGCAGGAGGTAATGAGAACTTTTCAGAACTCTTGGCCTTCTGTTGGCAATGGAAAGTAAAGATGGGAAGGGATGTGATCACAACAAATATGCTAGTAAGGACTTAGTAAAGAAATTATTTTATTGTCACTGCAGCATTGGTCCATGCTACTCCTCTGCCAGAATTCATCTAACATAATAATTTATGCTTAACTGGAACCTGAGTGAAGATTTAAAATTTCTTTAACAGAAAACAAATGGGAACCAGATATTCAAATAAATGACATTATCTTTAGGATATATTTTGCATAATTATTACTTTAAATAAAGAAAAATTTTCACTCAATTTACTCTAAATAAATACAGTATTCTGTGCTGAGCAGTACTCTAGATGCTGGATTTAGCAGTGAACAAATGGAAATATCTGCCTCCAGATTACATTTTAGCTGGGGGACAAAACACATATATAGGAGGCAAGGGTGTTAGAGGGTATTAAATACCATGGAAAACAATAAAAGGGATTAAGAACGTCATTGGGAGGTCAGAAATCTCACTGAGAAGGTAACATAGGAACCAAATAAAGTGATGAGGGTAAAGGAGCTAGTGTGATGTAGCATATAGCAGGGCACGTTTGGGAACACACAGAGGCCACTTTGGCTAGAGACCTGTGTGCCAAAGGGAGAGTAAATGGTCAGGCAGGAAAGGGGTGCAGGAAATCTGTGTGTGTGTGTGTGTCTGTGTGTGTGTGTGTGTTTGTGTGTGTTTGTACAGTATTTATAGGTCTCTAGAAAGACTCTGGCCTTTGTCTAAATTACATTAAACATTACTGGAGGGAGTGGAGCAGAGGAGCAACGTGCTTTCTGGCTCAGGCACAGAGTGAGGAGCACAGTTTGGGGGAGGAGGGTGGAGCCCAGCTAGGAGATATTCAGAGTCAATCTAGAGAACAGCCATAGTGGGTGGGACCAAAATGGTAGAAGGAAGGGAGTGAGACACAGCTGGATTCTGATTATAGTGTTCTGATGGTGAAAGTTACAGAATTTGGTAAAAATGGACGCGAGAGACTGACTTGGGATTTTGGTCTGAGTAAGTAGAAAAATGGAGCTACCAATTTCAAAATGAGACTGAAGACTGGGAGAAACAAAAAGAAAAAGAAAAAAAGAAATGGTCTAGTATATTACTTTACTGTTATACTAAGATGGTCATTTTTCTCTACCTGAATAAATCTCAAGATACTGTATTGCTTTTTAAACTTTTATTAAAATATGACTCAAACAACCAAATAATTTAACCTATTTAGAAATGTGTGATCTTATGCCACCTGCCTTGCAAGTGCAAAGACCTGAGTTTGATCCCCGGTACCAAAAAAAGAAATGCTGTGATCAGTGAATACTGATTTAACTGATAGTCTATTAACAGAAACTTATCTGAATTAGCTCTTTCATGCTTTGACATTTAAATAACTGAAAATGTAGGAAACTTTCTGCAGAGGTCTTGTGAAGTCCTGGTCTCACAGTGATGACTATTTACATCTCTTTAACCTCCTGACCAATCTATTCACAATAATGATTTGCAGCACTAACACACCAAAGTGCCCATTGAATTACCTAAGTAATCTAAAATTACTTTCAGTACAACATTAATATTATGTGTAATACCACAACATCCACTCCCCAACAATGCTGGTTGAGAGAATTTATTCTCTGCAATCCATACCTGATAATGCATATACAACCCACAAAAAACTATAAAATGTCACAGAAAGGCAAGTAACTATTTACCAAACACAAAGGAAATTACATTTAAAAAATGAACCCTGTAAAGGTTTGATGAGTTCTTTCAGAATGTAATTTTTTTAGTCCTGGTTTTGAGCCCTTTCTATTATTGGATAGGGCATTCAGCTTAACAAGGAAGGCTTTACCCATATGAGACTCAAATAGGAAAAACATTTTGATATTAGAAGTTAAGTGCTTCATGTATTATATTATCACATCAAGACTTTTCTTCTAAGAATTAGCCAAAGATCTTACCCATTGGATAGAACAAAACATGATAGTGTGAAGTCTGTTTTACAACAGTTACAGAGACATGTTTTCTTTCTTTTCTTTTTTCTTTTGGGGGGGCAGGGTCTCACTCTGTAGCTCAGGGTGACCTCAAATTGCTGTGATCCTTCTGCCTCAGCCTCCCAAGTGCTGGGATTACAGATGTGCGCCACCAAGCCTGGCTGTTTACATTCAATGTTAAGCATGTTTCTGAATTATTGAAACATGGCAACTTTCATATTTGAATTTCAATAATCTAACCTTGTATGAGGTAACATTTCTTAATTTTGTGTTATATTTTATAATTAATTTACATTTTCATATGAAAATGCAATAAAACATAGTTTACAAAACAGAAATGTTAAATTACTTAAGAGCTTAAGAGTATGACATATTGCACGAAAAATACCATAGAATCTTATGTCTGAAAGGTAACCTTGGAAGTTGTCTAGTCTAAATTTATAGTCAATCTTAAGATTTTTTTCATACACTCAGATCATGATGAGAATTTCTGAGAGCCTAATAATCCCTAGTGTCTCATAGTTTCCTAATATCCCATGTTCCTCATAACTCACATGTACTTGAATCTAGAATTTAACCCTAATCAAAGATGTAGTTCAACAAGTACGATTCTCTTTTTGGATTTTCTTAGTTCTTTTCCTTTGAACAGTTTCTCCCATATTGCCTAGGGCATAAGGCAGAATAATCTGTATCAGAAGCCACTGCAAATTCACTTACCCTTAGACCTCATCTTATACTTTCAATGTAAAGGAGGTATCTGAAAAAAAGATGCATGCAAATTCTACCCTATTCATCCTCTCTATCACAACCCCAAATCAATTCTCTTATAGACCTTCAGTCATACTAGTCAGGGCACGACTTCGTCTTTCCCACCTTTGTTCTATATACTCATAGGTTCCTTTTAGTTACTGGGCTTTAAAAATATATGTCACTTTCTCTGTTTTGAAGTTAGCAGAATTCTGAACATCTTTCAACAGAGTTTTAAAGTACTTTAAAAACCTCACATTTAACACAGACATTGGTTTTATACTTGGACCAAACTTGGAGTGCTGAAAGAAACATGAGAAACCAGTTTTTTTCTCTCCAACCTTTTTTTTTCATTTCCAAAGAAATATCATTAAATTTAAATAACATACTAAATATGCATATAGGTAAATATAAAAGTAATTTACGTTTTCTCCTCTTAGTCGCCATCTTGTCATATAGATGAATTCCATAGTATGATCCTTCCCCATAATTTCACCATTGCACAGTACATCCAACTTTAAAAAGAATTACAAATATATTAACATAAGTAATTTTGAATTCATAAGTATTTTATATATGATTGAAATTTCAAATATCTATGTAGTTCTAATTATGTATTACTTAAAAGAACACTGAATACTTTATTGAAAGCATTTTCTTTCTCACAGAATATTAATAATTCAGATGAAGCAGTTTATCTTGTCCAGCAATACATTCCTATTATCTCAAGTTCATACACATAATTTATAAATGGAATGTAAACTTTCTTAGTTCATATTGCTATGTAACCTTAAAGGTTTTATACATATTTCTGTGATTGGTCTCTACTAATGACAAGAAAGTGTACCAAGCTCACAGTTCCTCTGGCTTCTGAATTCATCTGTCAGAATCCTTTTGGCTTCCCAGTATTGAAAAGGGTAATTTTCTTCTCATTAGTTTTGATTCGAAAGAGGTAACCAGTGTGGACACAATGATTTATGGGACCTCTGGGGTAAATTAAAGTTTCTAGCAATTTTTGATGGCTAAGTTAATCCCACACTTAGTAACTTGGCATAAGTCTGTGTCTGGCTTCTCACCTTTGCTTGGTTGGTAGCATGTACAACACTTATAGGATATCCTTCTCATCTTGCATGAAATATCACAAAAGGGTTGTATTTATGAATGGTTATATTTGCTCTAGGTTGCAGGAGCTAAACAACCCCCCAAATCCTTAAGGCCACAGGAATTCTGGTTATGGCTCACTAATTCAACAAAGCATAATTAAATATCATAGACACCTGTAAATAGGAAAACATTTCAGTTCTCTAGCTATTAAGAGTAACTGGTAAGATTTCATTTGGAGTGTGGAGGGGAAGAAAAAGAATGTGTTTTAAATAATTCTGTGTCTGGCTATACAAAGACTATAACTGTGAACTTTAAGTTCAAAATTGTATTAGACATATGAAACTAGATTATTGACTTTTTGATAAATTGTGCTGACTTATATGAACTTTGAAATGTTTTTCAGATGTGATTTTATTAACTTTCAATCTCTGTCTGTCTGTCTGTCTCTGTCTCCCACTCTCTGTCTTTCTTGACAGGTTCTCATGAAGTTGCCAAGGCTGGGCTTGAAATTGTGATGCTCCTGACTCAGCCTCCCAAGTGCTAGAGTTACAGGTGTGTTCTACCATGCCCAGCTCATTTTATTAACTATTAAAAGAAAAAAGTAGTTAACTTCTTTTTCTTTATCTTGCCTGTAAAATAAATGAATAAGCAAAAAAGTAAAGGGAGTTACTTAAGATGAAATTAGTAATCAAGTATATGTCTCCTGGTGACATACACTAGTGACTAAATTATCCTGCCCCATTTAGCAATGCTGTCATACAAGTTTCAGCTGTCAGGTATTTTGTTAAATTATCTCCTACATGCTGGGCAGAAAAATAATCACAGACCAATCAATATTTCTAAAACAAAAAAAATCAGAAAAAGTCCTTTGACTGACATAGGTAAGGAATGAATAGTAGATAGAATCTCTTCTCCTTCCATCTTTATCTATGTAGAAATAGAACACATGCCAGAAAACTGAGAATAATAGTTTTCTTAGCTCTAACAACTTCCTGAAAATGAGAAGATGGCAACTCAATAAATCAGACTTTAAGGTAGTAAAACTGTACATGGTACTTCATTAAAAAACACTCAATCAAATCATAAAAACAATTTGACTACCTATAAACTGTTGTCTTTTACTTTACAAAAGGTTCTAATTAGGTTGTAATATTTAAATTTTCCTAATACAATTTCATAATTTTTTCCTAATATAGAAGTAGATATTGCTCTTTTTTAAAAAAAATCTGTCGGACCAAATCCTAAAGAAATATTTTAACCCAGACTAGTCATCTGGGAGGAGCTTTAAGTTCAGGATCAGATGCTTCCTCAAAATACAGGGTTCATACCTATCAATGCCTGTGTTCAAATATGATCACATTTCATTTCTCCCATGATGACTGCTTATGATATAAACATTATTGTAGGGAAGCCAGAAAATTTATGCTGCCTTTGATGTCTTTGTTTATACAAGAAACTAGCCTGGTCTTTAGTCTTTTAGATGCCAGTATTAGAATCCAGGGAAGAGAAAGGGGAAATTAATAAAAGTTGTAAAATTGCTATTTGGGCAGGTAATGAAAGGCAGTGATGTCCTTTACTACGTTATATCCATACCCTTAGGATCATAAACATTCTCTCAACACTGAACACATTATAAGCTATTCCCGTCATCAGTGTCAGGGCAATTTGCCTCTCTTACAATAATATGGTAAAATACATTTATGAAGATGCAATATATTGGTTTTACCTAGTGCTAAACATTATCAATTTTGCAAACATGGAACTATAGGAATATTATCTGTGAAATCCTTAAAAAGACAATGTTTAAATTCTGAAGTCTATAAAAACCGGTAATTTAAAGGTCTTAGATTAAGAAATGATACATCCTAAAAGTATGCTGATATTAAAAAGAAAAATAATTTACTTAGAATATTTGAGAGAACTTAATGTTAATGTTTAAATATCTCCTCTAATTATAAAATACTCTTCTAACTGTAAAATACTAAGTGTGTTACTATCATGATTTACTCAGTATATGTTAAATTGGAAATATATAAATGGATTATATTCTAAAAATTAAATTTTTAACATGAAAATAACAAGTTTCCACAAGAATTAATTTGAATATATTCTCAGTTTTATCATTTAATTTTCCCTTGTCATAACTTAATATCAGAATTATCAAAATGATGGTTAGATATTATTTAGCTTACCTCATAAGAACTTGGAAGTTTTAGTTTTAAACTTAGAAATTTTTTAATAGTTCCCACAGTTACACGTGTAGAACATCGAATGAATTTCTTCATTAGACCCTAAAGAAAATAAAGATAAATGATTAAAATATTCTACTTTGTCTTTAAAGAAACTTGAGGTACACTATTTTCACTATCACTTTAAGAACTTTCAAAATGGGTTGTAAGAAATGTTTCACTTTATAGGACTGTAGTATTTGTTAAGTAAAAATATTCCTTATACTAGGATACTTATACAACGTGCTTTAAGAAGGTATTATCAGTGTGTTCTAAGAAAACCAGACAATCTGCTTATCTCTAAGACATTTTAGTAAGGAAAATACTATGAGTTTAAATAAAAATAACAAAAGGTAACAAAAACATATAAATATATCACTCTGAAAGCATTAAGAACATTTTAAAAAACATTTTGTCATAATTTTAAGTACAGAGAGCAGTGATTTCAAATGGGACTGAGGAGTGTTACAGTTCAATACAGAGAGGCCAAGTTGGTCCACAGCACAGCTTCCAGTTTATTTAGGGGTTCAATTTCTTCTAGCAATGTTTTAATAGTTTTCATTATGCAAGTCCCATGTTTCTTTGGTTAGACATTCCTAAGCATTTTATTCTTTTGATGCTATTTTGAAAATGGAATTGTTTAAATTTCATTTTTGGACTGTTTGTTCCTAGCTAACTCTTGACTCTTGTATATTGATTTGTAGCTGCAACCTTGCTGAGCTTATTAGCTATCAATTTTTCTGTGGATCCCTAAGAAGTTTCTATACACAATTATGCTACCTACAATACTTTTTTTACAATCTAGATGTTTTTCTTGTCTAATTGCCTTAGTTCAATATCTAGTACAACACAGAGTAGGAATGATTAGAACAGAAACAGTTTATTCTTGATCTTAGGGGGAAAGTTTTCACAGTCTTTCACCCTTCATCATGATGATAGCTGAGGTTTTTTCACAGATGTCCTTTATTCATTTGAGAATTCCCTTTTAATTTCTAAGTTTGCTGAGCATTCTAAAACGAAAAGGTGTTAGATTTTACCAAATGCTTTCTCATACTCTATTTTAGTGCTTTCTCTTACTCTATTTGAGATTACCATGTATTTTTTCATCCCTGTATTCTATTAATATGGTATATTAACTGATTTTTCCTGTGTTGGATCAACCTTGATAATGGTGGATAGTCTGTTCTTTATGCTGCTAAATGCACTTTTAAGATTTTTGCATCTATATTCATGAAAATATTGGTTCATAGTTTTTCTTTTTAAGACTTTCTTTACATTTAAAAAATTGTGGTTAAAAACGTGTAATACAAAATTTACCATCTTAGCCATTTTAAAATATACAGTCCAGTAGTATTAATTCTACTCACATTGTTGTAAAACAGACATAGGTATAGTTCTGTATCTATAGATGACTTAAAATACATGTCTGGTAAGTTAAATGTCTGAACTTCCTCAGGGACAGTTTCTATTGATTGTTTCTTTCCCTGTGTATGGGCCATAATTTCGTATTTGTTAATATGTCTCAAATTTTTTGTTGACAATTGGACATTTTACTAATATAATGTGGCAATATTGGAAATTAGATTCCTACATGCTCAAGGTTTGTTGTTGTGGTTGTTTGTTTTTATTGTTTTTCTTGTTGTGACATTTCTAAATGAACTCTAGTCTTTTACATATGCAATTGCGCAAGTTTTTATCTAGAGGTCAGATAAAAATAAAGATAATATATAAAGATTTCTGTACATGCTTAGAGCCAGTAAGTATTCCAGTGTACACAAAGAGACTCTGTATTGGGGGACACCTCTAAAACTCAACCAGGTTGGTGACAAATCTGCTTTAGTCTTTATGCTCTTCTTGTGCAGTGCACCAAGGTCAGCCTCAAAGTAGGAGCTTGAACCTTCTCACATCTTTCCTGAGCATGTATGCAACCCTATATAGCCTTCTAGATTCTTAGGAATAGGTAAAAGCTTTCCAAGGCTTCTATGGATATCTTACCAGCTTTTGTTTTTAAGCCTTTTGATTAGTCTACAGTTTGCCTCAAATATTAACTATACCTCAGACAGTCATGAAGCTAAAACATTTTCCTGTCTATAATTGTTTCTGAAAAATACCTCTTCTTTCCACTCACAGATAAATCTTTTTTCTACCAGGAAGGCTCCCAAGTCAAATCGGACATAGAGTGGACAGCCTGCAAAGTGGCATCTTTCAGGGAACAATCAAACAGGTCAAAAAAATAGTGACAATTCTTTGGCAATGAGGCTCTGAAAGAGCTTTACCTCTTTTCTATCTTTTTAGTGCCTGGAAGGTTGCAATAGGAAACCAGGCTCTTAATTTTTTCAAGGCTACTACAGAGCTGCAAGTTAAAATGTCACAAAGCCCCCTGTTTTCATGAGAGTCATCATTTTGATTAAGTGCTTCATGGGCTTTGAAAACCATTGATTAAATATTGTATCTTTGAAAGAGGTGATCTTGGACACTGCCAGGTTATATATTTCTATTTTTTCTTTTGCACTTTTATGGAGAAGCAAAGGTTTGGAGGTAACTTTTTACTGACATCCTACTCTTGACTTTTGCTGTCACATTATAAAAACAAAGATAAACTGTTTAAACTATGCAACTATTCCACCAGCACGTTAAGAAGCATATGCCATTGCAAGGGAATGAGATGGCTGAGAAAACTACAAAGCAATACAGACATGTGTCTGTACTTCTAAGTCGTTTATGATATAGTTTCAAGGGAAAAAACTCATGATATAAAAGAGAAAAGACAGTGACTAACATCCATAGGAACATGCTTAATAGATGAACTAAACCCTGAGTGATAAATGTTGAGTTCTACATAATTTCAGAAAAGAGACTCATTATGTTGGAAAAAACATCACAAAGAACAGGGATCTCTGCTTGGGTCTCGAGAGAACACAGGATGGTGAGAAGAAAAGTGAAGAACATGCCCAAAAGAAATGGATTTAAAGTTTTAGAGTCCTTTATATATGCACAGCACAAAGCTTTATATATTCTACATACAAATCCATTGTCTGATACGTGATATACAGTCTATAACTTATACATAAAGCACTAATCATTGTCAGCAGGAGGCATTACAGATGAATGAGCATTTAATGAGAGGGCTTAATGGGAAACTTGTCAAGAAAGGGGCTAGGTGTTTAGATTTGATTCTGTAGGAAAGTAGGGGACAAACCGTGGCCATGTCTCCATGTCAAATCTGGCTGGGCAACAATTTTCTTTAGTAAAGTTTTACTGGAATACAACTACACATTCACTTACTATTGTTTATGGCTGTTTTATGGCTATAATGAATAAGCTGAGACGTTGCAATTGAGACAACTGGCTACAGGGCCTAAAATATTTACCATTCAACTATGTCACAATCTAGGCCCTCATCCTCTGCCTTGTCCACACTCATGCAAGTGGCCTTAGATAACAAAAACGGGTATAAAAGCCATTGAAGAAACTACTTTCAAAGATTTAGACATAAAGATAAGCCACACTAAACTGTGAATTAGTGCCTGGTGGAAGGAAAAGAATAAAAAGTCAAGGATGACCCCAAGATTTCAAATGATGGTAGTCAAAACTGAAAATGAACATTTGTAGTTAAATTTGGTGGAATATAATGAATTTGCCTTAAGACATAATTTCAGGTGTTAAACTTTCAACTGGTATTTAAAAGTAGAGACAAAATACTTCAACTTGGGAGAAATGGTAGGGTGGTAATGGGATTCTAGAAAAAAATGAAGAGACCTCCTAGAATGAATATGGAGAAAGTATTAGGACATATTTCTATCAAGGAGAAAGTAAGAAGCTAAGTCAGTAGAGACAAGATAGGAATGGCCTGGAAGAGAAGATGAGAATCAGGACAGCATGAAAATTATTCTAAGCTAAAAAAGTTGTCTGGAGAATGAAGCCATGGTACCTCAGTTCACAAACTTAATCCTTTCCATGATTCTGGCTGCAAACTGAATTGGATGAGACATGAATCAAGTTTCCCCAACAGGTCAACATTGAACCTAACTACTGAATTTGATTAGATTCTTGTCCAATTCAGGTTGCAACCAAAATCATGGACAGGATTAAGTCATGAACCGAGATGCCACTGTACAAAGAAAAAGAAAAGTCTATAAAAGAAAGAACAAACGGATAAAAAGCCAACTAGAACAACAAAGTGTCAGATTCCAAGGCAGGGTGGTTAATTTTTTAGATGAAGTTTGAAAAATCAATATTTTAACTTTCATAGTAGAAATCATGCAGAGAAGCAGATTTCATATTTATTTATGAAAAGATATTTGGTGTTTTCATTGACTCAACTTTTACTATCAGGTAGCAACTTGGAGAGAGCTAAAGAATGATTACAATCCCTATGAAGAACTTCCTCCAAAAGGGATTACAGGAGTAGCTGGCAAGAAGAGAGAAACAGTTACAAAAACTGATGAAAACACAAAAAGGGAAAGCTATTGCACAGGAACATGGAAAACAGAGGGTAAACAGAAAGTGGTCAATAGGATAAACAGGTACAGTGGTCATTTCTTTAAAGATGCCTCATCCAGCCAAACCCCTTAACTAAATCAATTATTTCATTGTATTGTAAGTGTTTGATTATATGTAAAAGGTCTAACTAAGTTCCTTGAGTGGTAAGTTTTGTTCTTACTACTGATGTCATTACTGTCTAATATTCGCATTGCAGATAAATATACATCGAACTATTATTCTTATTCTTTATTGCAAGATCCTGTGAAAGCTTAAATTGAATTAAAAAATTGGTTTTTGTCTCCTAATAGAAAATTGCCACTACATGCATTAGCAAAAAATATAGATTTACATAGAGGAAGCAAAAGAAAATTAGAGACAATGGATAAAACAAAGTGACAAACATCTATTTAAGAGCTAAAGTAGTGAACATTTATAGTGAAAATGAAAATTTCGTGCAATAAAAAGCAGAAAACATTAAGTAATATTTAAAGACCAAAAAAAAAAATTCAATAAAAATAAATAGGGTGTTCTAAGATCTTTTAAAAAGGGATCAATTAGCAGACACAGAGGGCAACAGGATTAGAAATGAAAATTCTGTAGGAAATAATGCAGAGCCTTTAATGACTTTAAAAGTTCATAGGTACTTTACAACAATTAATTTTACTTCAAAACCAGTATTATTTATAAAATATAATAGCCATGATATGGAAAGCTTATTGAATTACAAATAGAAATATAAAGAGATAAATTAAGAGAATGAATAAAAGGGTTAGAACCATTGCTTAACATGGAATTACGTACCTGAGCATAAGTTAACACACATAAAAGATAAATAATATCCTGTGAACTCCCAACAAAGGTACAAAAGATCGACGTGAAACAGAGGTGTGATTCTCCACATTAGCCACTAGATGGTGGGATTTGCACAGGATAATGGAGGGGGGAAGTGGAACATACAGGTGCCCAGAGTAAGCAATTGCTTGACCATCTGCAGGACTGTCAAAGATGTGCTTTCTACTGCATTATGTTAATAAAAACTTTAGATGCAAACAGTTGAAGTATCAAAAAATTCATCAACAAATTTAAAAGGATTTACTATAATATAATCATTAAAAAAATACAACTTACTTGTCCACTCACCTTGACTACATTGTCTCCTGATTGTCCATTATTTCGTAAACAATCTAGACAGATAGCAATTTGTGGGTCACTTCTATGATAGTCTTTATCATCCTGATTTTCATCACCTTCATCTGCTTTAGGTTTGTCAACTTTCGAAGTATCATCTGTATAATTTTTTTAAACAGTCAGCTATAATTCAAAAGTTTAAAGCAATAATGCATGACTCATCAAAACCAAAATCAGACTGAAACCTGTGGCATATAAACAATACAACTGGATTTACTGATGCATTCATTTATTGCATGCCTTTGCTAATGTGTTAGACATGTACTGTGCTAGGCCTGAAGGAACATTAATGAAAGCAGAGGGATATCATCCCTAACATAATAGTGGCCAAGGTATAGGACAAAGTAAAAAAATAGACAAACACATGATGTTAGAGGTAAAATGAACTCTGTGGGCATATGTAACAGACGCAATGAACTCAAATTTTGGGGATGAAGCAAAGATTCAAGGAAGATTTCTAGATGAATTATCTCTAACCTAAAACTTGAAATAATTGCCAGCCAAGTATTACTTTGTAGACCCCCTCCCTCCCTGCAATGATAAATCAGCCCCTCTTCAATGACAACAGTTAAAGTTTTATAGAGCAATAATAGAGGACAGGTAAGATCTCTTTCTTCTTCATACTTATAAGGAAATTAGGTAGATAGGAAGTGCCTTCTATGAATCAAACTAGCTCCAAAACAAGATCCAGATTCTCTACCTGAAGATTAAATATAAATATTTTTAAAAGGGAGAAACAGGAAGAGGGAGCTAAAATTTAGCAGGCTACAGCCCTTTAGAAGTCAATTCAAGGGCCGGGGATTTAGCTCAGTGGTTTCGACACCTGCTATGCAAGTGGCAAGGACCCAAGTTTGATCCCCGGTACCAAAAAAAAAAAAAGAAGTTAATTCGATACAAAAAGTCATAGACTAAATCTACCATACAACTTCTGATGACAATTCCCTGTGCTCCTGTCCTCTTGAGCAGGCAGTAAAAACTGGAACATTTAATTAACCTTATGTTATCTCTATTTTTGCTATGGCACTACCATCTAATTGCAATGTACACTTAAATAAAACAAGGCTTTAGTTATTTTAGTGTCTTTGCCCATTTGTTGCTATATATTAAAAATAGTCCTTTGCTACCTTACTCCAGTCATCCAAACTATGTCAGACATCCCCTGCTTATGAAAACAGTTCTGTACAGTTAAGTTGAAGTAATAAAACAATGATCTCCATTTTACAGGTGAAAAAAAGGCAGCATTTTTTCATCCATCCTAATGTTTAATTGGCAAATATATTTGTACATATATATGTACACACACATACATATGAAAGGTTTGAATGGTATTTAGGATATCTTGAATGAAATTTCGTATTTTAAAAAATGGTAAATAATCCAACTTGCTTATTATCTCAGAGAACCCTTTGTAATGATAACATATACTAAAAGGCCTTTCTCTGATTAGTAATGTTTTTGCTGAAATTATTAAGAAGTACCAAATGCTGAGTCTCCTGGAACCAACAGAAGAGATGTGGACACTTAGCATAAGCGATAGGAAAAATTCCAGTAAGCCCACTGAGGTATTTTTTAAATTCTCAGGACATGTTAAGTTTGTGTCATCTGAGCTCTATCTATGAAAATTTGATTCCAGAGTATCAGAGCATAGCAATTTCTGACTCTCAGTCACATCTTAGTTCCCTCTCCTATTAAAATGAACTTTAAAATAAATAAAAACAGGGCCAGGGATTTAGCCCACACCGCCTGGCAAGAGCAAGGTCCTGAGTTCGATTCCTGACACCAATTTTTTTTTTTTTAATTTTTAAAGTCCTCACTATTTAGTTGCAAGCTTTTTTTTTTTTTGTACCAGGGATCGACCTTGGGACCTTGCGCTTGTGAGGCAGGCGCTGGAACCACTAAGCTAAATTCCCGGCCCTGCAAGCTATTTCTTACTTCAGATTTTTTCCTATTAAGAAATTATTGCTATAATCACCTAGTCTTTTTTCTTTCTGATCTCAAAACCCAACTTCCTCTATTTCCAACTGTCCTCAATTGGATACCAGATTTGTACAGATTTACATAAAATCTCATGAAGAGAAAAAACAGGGGAAAATGAATTTTGTGCAGGAGAAAGTTGAAAAATTTAAAATTTAAAATAAAATTTAAAAATTAGTTTATCAAAGCAACAAAAAGTTTTGAATTTAGAAAGAGTTGACCAAAAAGTTAACCAATCTGAGAGATGCTGTTAGATACAGAAATAAAAAGTTACCTTGTCCATTTTCTTGAGGCTTATTTTTCTTCCAAAATTCAGATTCACGCTCAAGTTCTTCTAATTTAAAAGAAAAGAATATAAAACCATAGGAACAATCATGAAATCTTTAATAGAAATGCTGATTTCGTAAAACTGCAAGTCTGTAAGAACCTAAAGAGCAACTTACGTTCTCGTAGTCCAGGAACCAGCTTAAATATAATTTCCTCCAATGTATTATCCAACCTTCAAAGGAAGGAGAATAACAATGAAGACATCAAAATCTAGTATGTATAGGGGCCAAGGATTTAGCTCAGTGGTTCCGTCGCCTGCCTCGCAAGCGCAAGGACCTGAGTTGGATCCCCGGTACAAAAAAAAAATCCGGTATGTATATAGTTTGAGATTTATATCATGCATGTATCACAAAATACAAAAAAATTATTTTAGCATACCTAGTATACCAAATCTTCTGCACACGGAGCATAACCATTCGTAGTCTTTGCCAGTGGCAGACTGATTTAAAAAATGATCTCAGTTCCCAGCTCTCTCTCTTAACCCTCCTTTGACTATGGGTTGGGGTCTGTTTCCCAACCCTGAGAATACAGGCTGGCCTTGAAATTTGCTTAGACCTACAGACTATGGCACAAATGGCAGCTATGCTTAATTCTGAGCCTAAGCTTCAAAAACAGGCATTTCTCTCTCAGAATCCTGCTAGCGTAAGAACACACCTGGAGGATGAGACACAATGTAGAGGATCACCACTCTACCCTCCTGGGGTTATCTTAGATGAGGCCACAGACAGCCCACCTCCAACCTGGGGAAGAACCCAGCAAAGAGCAGCAGAGCAGCCTCTGGGGTGTGCAGCTAACTGCAGGTGCACGAGGGAGCACAACCATGGTCAGAAGAACCACCAGCCAACCCATGAACTGTGAGGAATAACAAGTGCTTACTTTTGCAAGCATTAATTTAAGGGGTATTTCTTATATGCAGCAGTAGCTGGTAAGTCCACTCTTGAAATCTCTACCAAAATTCTAGTTCTTTCCTACGATGGAAATCATCTCCCTTGCTCTTTTCTAAGAAGTGGAGACTATTTAGTTATTCTGTCTTCCTTGATAAAAACTTAAATATTTATCTTTTTACTTTTCTTGCTAGACAACTTTTCCTTTTCATGGCTTTATTTCTTCAATCTATCTTCTTGCTTCCACAACACCCCCCTTTTCACTTAGTCTCCTTCATCCTGCTCAACAGTATTACTCTACTCTGCCTTCAAAATCTTCAAGCATGCAAAGGTTTCTCACATCTAAAAAGGAAAAACATTGCTTAACTCATTATCTTTTAAAGTTATCACTTTAATTTTTCCTCCCAACTAGAATTTGAAAGCATAAATCTTTATTATTTCTGTCACATATTCTCTGTTTTGCTTCTTTTTTCCCTCCTGAACCTTTAAAGTTATCCATAACTTCCTTCATACTAAATAGGTTTTAAGACTTTCAAGTAGAAAAATGTTTTCCAAACAGAGTCTCATTATATAGACAGTGGCCTTGAACTATGAAGCCCAGGCTGGCCCTGAACTCAGTGATCCTCTTGTCTCAATCTCCCGGGTGCCAGGATTACAGGTATACACTACCACATCCAGCTCTAAATTGAAAAATTTTTTAAATTTATTTTTAAAATTAATTTTCTCATATTGCTATGAAGTTATTTGAATGTTAAAATAATCTATCTCAAAATTTCCTTTCCTGTTTTTTTTCTTACTTATTCTTTGTTACTAAATAGCTAAATAAAGTTGTTCCTCAGTATCAATGCGTGACTGGTTCCAGGACCCCTCACAAATAGCAAAATCATCAAGTCCCTTGTATAAAGTGGTATAGTATTTACATATAACCTATGCATATCCTTTCATATACCTTAAATAATCTCTAGATTGCTTATAGCACCTGCTGCAATGTAAATCTTATAAATAGCTAAATGGTATGCACAGTTTAGGGAATAATAATAAAATATCTGCACATGTTCAATACAAATCCAATCCCCCACCCAAATATTTCTTTCTCTCCTTCACTCCCTTACCCCTCTCCTGTTCTCTTCTTTAATTTAATTCAATTTTTTTTCCTGCAGGCTGAGTATTGAACCCTAGGGCCTTGTGCAGGGTTGGCAAGTATGCTATCACTAAGCTATATCTCCAGACCTTCTTCAAATATTTTTGCTCTGTGGTTGGTTAAATCTGTGAATGCAGTACCCACAGATACAAAGGACTGACCGTAATTGTAAATCTATTGCTCTGTATACTCTATACTCTTTGAACTTCTCAATGGATTGTCTTCCTTGAGGATCACATCTACATTTGCTGCTTGAAACTAACAAAAAGGCAGTGAACTTTATCTGTCTGTGATATCTCACTGCCAAGCTCCCGTTCCTTATTTCCAACAGAAGCTGAACACTTCAACTACCTCTTCTGTATCAATACTGTCTCATCAGCCCTCCTCCAATGAAATATTGACTATCCTTCACTGTCTTAACAATTAAATTGTTAAGTGATACAGCAACTCTTCCAAACAGGCTCAAAATAAAGAATTAACTTTTCTGTCTCTGATTTACACACTTCAACTGAGCCTCACTCACAGTTCAACATTTCTTCTGTCTAGCCTTTCCTTACCACCTCATCCATCCACTATCATTCACCACCCTGTCAAAGTAAGACATAGAGCTATCTTCCTGTAACTTGACATTCTCAGAATGTTTTCCCCAGAATACTAATTTGATCATTATTTCCTAGCTCAAGAACTAATTTCTTCCCACTACATGGCTTCCAGTGTTTATATAACTCAAATCCCATATGAACTGTAATCGATGCTATTCTCTCACGTCTCTCTTTTCTGGTCAACTGGCTTAGTTATCCCAAGAATTCCTTCTATTTTCCATTCTGTTTTTCTCCCTCATGTTTTTTATCTTGGCTCAAATACTTTTCTTACGTTCCAATCAAACTGGCATTAACTTTATTCCGTAAGACAACTCAAATACTAACTCATTCACAAACTTTTCTCAGACTGTTTAATAGTAGTAATACAGAAGAAATAGTACTTCTTTTCTTAATTTAACATTTAAAAGTAAATATATATATAATTCAAAAATAAAATTTCCTTTGAAAACTTATATTAAAATATAACATTCTCAGGCTCCATCCACCCGTTCTGATTCCTATCATCCCAGAAGCAATCACTTTCAAATCTAACCTCTTTCTGGTATTTACTTTCATACTTTTCTTTAAAAAAAAAGCCGCACATTTTCTGCTATGTAGATTTTTCTGACTTCCTTAAAAGTTTAGTTCTCTTATATTATCTGTCACTCCCTTTCCTCCCAACATATGCCTTTTCCTTACTTCCATTTTCCAAATATACTTTTGTTACTAATATATTTACTCAATATAGGTTTTTTGTTTAGTAACAGTGCTTCCATGATAATTAAATAATTATGGGGTTGGGGTATGGTTTAGTGGCAGAGTATGTGCTCAGCATGCAGGAGGCCCTGGCTTCAATTCCTCCCTTTTGTATTCACAGAGCACTCTTTATAAGATATATCCTCTATTTTTTTCTAGTAACTATTTCTTTTCATTTACAATGTACCTAATTCAGAAACTCTCAAAAATAATCTCTTCTCACCATGTGCCCACCTCTTAGGAGTCGACTAGATTCATTCTCTTTCCTCTAAGACATTCCTAACCACTCTGGATGTTCTCTTAATCCAGGTTAAGACTGATATGATCATTAGAATCACTCCCATACATATACCCTTGATTCTCTTGTCTCTCTTACTTGCTCAAAATTGGTTGGTATAACAACAAACTCTAGCTAAATTCAACTCTCCATTAACTTTGCACTTGTACCCATGGCTTAAAAAGAAAACCACCACATCCCTTCAAATTCATGACTACAACCCAAACGTGCTTTTCATGCTGCCAGGAATCACACTATACTTTCCCTGTCCCCTGAACTTTTCTCTCCTCAGCTCTCCATGTCCTCTTTTTCTTACTCTTGGCTGATGAATATTTTCTCCTCAATGAAAAAGGTCCACAGACTATGGCCACCATATTTACATAGCAACTAAAGTCATTCTAAAAACCTAAGAGAAAGTTACAACTTTCATTTTCAAATGAATTTCCTAAATATTTAAGATTAAAAAGTCTTATTTTAATCTTAAAATAAAATTATTTAAAATGAAAATCATAAAATTCCTAAGACCCAAATTAACTGTCAAGACATTAAGAAATATATAGCATATAATAAAAACTGACAGTTTATACAATACATATAAATTAGATGAACTATAAAATATATTTCCTTACCTCAACATTTCTAATGGATTTGTCTCATGAACTTGGTTGCCACATCTGGGACAATCATTGCTATCTTCAAAGTGCTGAACAATACAAGTCTTACAGACTAAGAAGAAAGAAGGTGTTAGGTTAAAATGGATCATCTGAACTATCATTTAAGCAGAAATAGTCCTTACAACATTACCTACTACAAGTAATGTACTGTTATTATATCAAACTTTACAAAACCCTGAAACTGTAGTAAAACTCAAATGAAATGCAAGCCTAGAGCCATGATACAAGAAACATTTACTATTTTGCTTAGTTTTTATAGTCACAAATCATATTAATATTCTACTCATATTCCTTTTAAAAGATGGTATATTTACACAAAAGAACTGTTTCTCCTTTAAAGAAGTAGGACAGAAAAGTAAAAACATTTAAGATTGCCTTTACCTCTTTTGTTAAAAATTTATTTGAATGCGACATAAACAGTTCTTAATAAAACCTAAGAGTTTTCAATGTGTTGGGCTTACTTTTTTTTTTTTTGGTACCGGGGATCGAACTCAGGTCCTTGAGCTTGCGCAGCAGGCAGCAAAACCACCAAGCTAAATCCCCGGCCCCGGGGCTTACTTTTCTTGACAAAGTACCAGGAGTTACAATGGATTTTCTGCCCTTTGCCGAATTTGTACTTATAGGGACTATAAATCCATGGAGCAAAAGGTATGGGTATCAGAGTGGCATAAAGGCATGACAGTTAAGCTGGAAGAATAAATGAGAAACTAAGGAGAATAATAACAATTTTAAATAAAGATTCTGAAGAAAGACAATACAGATATGACTGGTGGATTTGGAGCCATAACACTATATAACCCTACATTTCCTCCAAATAATATTAATTTTTTTGGTTATGAATCTTTCATCTTTTACCTAAGCTTCTATTACATATTATGCGAATTATTTTGCCTCCAAAACATTCATATATTACAGCATGTGAACTATAAAATTTCAATCCAAATCCCTTTCCTGTACTCCTCCTCCATATTATTACCCTGTACAATCTGGTATTTTCACCAAGTGAAGACATCAAGAAATATTATTCTACCCTCCTTTCACAATTTAACTTCAATATACTCCTTTCCCTTTCTTCATGGCCCACATTATCTAGAAGTAAGTTTATCTACCTTAGTCAAGAGTGAACCTAGAATCCCTACCACTGAGATTAGGTCTGAAAATTCAAATGTATCACATATACTGGCTAGTGCAACAAAGGGAAGAAAACTATCAGGACTTGAATTTTAAAACCATTCAGTACATATATATAATAACAGCATTTGTTTCACTAATTTATTCACTAATTTAAAAGGCATTTATTGAATGCTAGGCATCATACAAGTAGTTGAGGATGCAGGGGCAGACAAAGTCCACAATCTTATGGAGCTTAGAGTCTATTTAGGAAGACAAGCAAATGATTTTAGTTCATGGTTAATGATACTTTTATCCCATCCTCCAACTCAAAAAGATAGATGGAGTCCTGGGAGGTGGCAGCTAAACAGAGTGATTAGGGTAGGCCTCCCTAAAAAGGTGACATTTAAGTAGCTCTGTGGATGAATGCAACAGAATCCCATGTCCTGTACTCCCATCACTCCATCACCTATTTAAGGTAACACCCTTCCCTCGCTATAGTCCTCTCCAAATTTATGTGAAAGACAGTATAAGAAAACATGTTTTAAAAGGCAGTTAGGCCAGGGATTTAGCTTAGTGGTTCCGGTGCCTGCCTCGCAAGTGCAAGGTCCCGAGTTCAATCCCTGGTACCAAGAAAAAAAACAAACCAAAAGACAGTTAGCTCAGGGTTAGCATGTAAAATTGAGTACTTCCTCTGGACCCCAAATCTCCAAAGAGGTTTTAAATATATTTTAATTATTTATTTATTTTTAGGCAGTACTGGGGATTGAACCAGGGTCCTTACACTGAACTACATCCCCAGCTGCCCACCACCACTTTTATTTTGAGACAGGGTCTTGCTAAGTCATTAAGTTGCCCTTGCTGGGTTTGCATTTGCATTCCTCCTGCCTCAGCCTCCCAGAATGCTAGCATCATAGGTCTACTATGCTCGGTTTCTAAATGCCTTTTTAAAAAGTCAAACTAATTTTTGAGAAGTGAAGGCTGCCTTGCTAATGCCATGCTGAAATGGAGAACAGATCATTTGAATACATTCAGAAGACTGCTAGCATTTGCTCTTTTTCCAGGGACCCTACATAAGTTTCAAATTTGAAAGAGGCTGAAAAGGACAGCAAAGAAACCAAAGTGAAGGAGTTTTACAAAGTATGATCCTGACGTGGAGTTCTGATCCTTGTGGTTCAAAAGATTTATCATAGTCAAAGGACTCAGCATTCTTTTGTTGTCTACCAGTCTTGACCAAACAGAGATGTGCATGTCATGCCCAGAGCAAATCCTCATCTAGGTCAGCCAAAAAGATCAGGGCAGGACCTTATCCTCCCAGGGGCAATGATACTAATCTAGGATGCCTGATTAAAGAGATATAATTCTTAACCATCCACAGGTGCACAGTTTTAAGAATAAGCCTAAGCTAATTGTTCGAAGCCAGCACAACACCAGTACCCAAGAACTCTGACAGGAATACAGATCTACATTATGGATGTGGAGTGCCCAATATCACAGCCCCCAGCCACACGTGGGTAATGAACACTTGAAATGTGGTTGGTTCAAGGTGAGATGCGCTGTAATTATATATATTTAAAAACCCCACTAAAATTAAAATAACATGAAAAAACTCAGTAATTTTTATGTTAACTACATGCTGACATGACTATTTTAGAAATACTGGGTTAAATATATTATTAAAATTTACTTCTTAAGTGGCTACTAGAAAAATTTTAATTTACATACGTGGCTCACATTTTATTTTTACTGAAGAGTGCTGTTCTAAATGCAGACAGAAACTTCTTTCAAGGGATGACTTTATTTTTTGTACCAATATCTGAGATACAAAATCTTGTTTCACTTTTGCAGATGAAAAAGGAGAGGTTTCCATAGGTTGATAACCTGCCTACTTTGAATGGCAGCACAGACTTAAATCCAAGTTTTCTGATATGAACTAGAATAACTTTTTTCCAGAGGCTAAGGGTAAAACTGAGGCTAAATTTTTTTTCAGATAGTTTTTAAAAAAGAAAATGTTGAGTAATATACAGTGGACTCTCGAGTTATGACTAGCCTGACATACAAACAACTTGGGTTACGACTGGAATTTTAGTTTTAACTTATGACCAAAGTCTTGAGTTACGACCTGAATGCCGGCCGCTTGTGTTTCCAGGTGGTCTCAGATACAGATTTAACCCTTAAAGAGTACTGGAAGGAACACTACCACATCCTTTCCTATGTGGGGTTAACTGAGAAATCCTGGGCCAATGTCTCTCCAAGGACACTGAGATCTGCCTGGAAGAAAGTGTGGCCTAAAATTATACAGGAGAGAGACTTTGAGGGCTGTGTAGAAGAGCATGACCAATGTGAGTTACAACCAGCCCTCATGAAGCAACTGAGTTCATAAGTCAAGGGTCCACTGTAATATTTTTTACTTTTTGTTCAGATGATTTGGTGATAGTTATCATCACTTTCATCATCAATATGTATAAAAGAGTTTATGTACCAGCCATTATCATCATCATACATGAGTATATGTGTACATATGTCCTAAGTAACATATTTAATTCCACACAATGTAGTAATTTAGTCCACACTACAAGCCTATTATTTAGGTAACCTTATTAGTCATGCTTTTATGGATGAAGAAACTGATTACAAAACTTTACAAACTTGTCTAAAGTAATGAAGCCAGTAAGAAGTGAAGGGCAATATTTGAATCCAGAGTCTATCTTTTTTATCAGTGTATTTTGGTATGATACATTTGTTTCTAATTTTATTTCTATAGATCTGTAAGAATGCCTTATGCATTAATTTGGAAGCTTTACATACTTCAACTTATAGAATTACACCTTTTTAGTATATTTTGCACAAAACAGTCCTTTTAAGTATCTTATTTGTTCTTTTAAAAAAAATAACTCTAGAAAATAATCTCCAACATGGCTTTTAAAGGTCGTTAAATAGAGTACAACCTCATATAAATTAGAACCTCAGGAAATCCAAGCCAAAAGTTCAATAAAACTGAAAAACACAAATAAGGATTTGATTTCCCTAGTTTTTAGCTTAAAAAACTTCTGTTGCCAGAAAACTGACCTTTGAATCTCAGTTTATAATTCGAAATCTATACCAATGGAAAAGCACATTTTAAAAACATCTTAAAGATTTAATGCCAAGTTCTCTAAATGCTCTATTGCTGTACTGGTTAACTCAACTGGTCCCAGAATAGTGCTTAGAAGGTTTTACTAGTCTAAGGTTAAGACTATGTATGGAGGCCAACTACAGTCTCCATTTCTCACCAGACACTCTGGAGATAGATGCTACAGCCACATGAAACATCTGGATGAGAAATGAAGTTAGGTACACCAAAGATATCTCCAGTTGGAAAAATCCTTAAATAACAAATGCTAACATTTACTGAGCAATAACCAAATGTCAAGCTCTGGGCTCAGAGCACTGTATGGACTATAGTATGGACTGTTACCATTTCCCTTTGACAAACAAGTAACACAAACACAGCACCACTGGAGAGCCTGAGCAGGCAGCCTGCAGCTGCCCTCTATGTAGGCAGACTTGGCATCCATTCTTGGGCTATCCGGCTCCAGGCTTAAAATCCAAACTACTATGCAATGTATCTTAGAATGAATGACATTTAGTCCCTGGCATAAGCTTCTTGTCTTTAATTGATCTTTATATTTAATTCATCATAAACATCATTAAATTTCTGTTTAAAGCTCCTTACTTTTACTGTTTCTTTAATTTGAACAAGGTTGTTACATAAATTAATAGAAAAATGGCCACTGTGCCATCAAAAGCAGTTTTTTTTTCAAACTTAGATGGGTATCACAATCACCAGTGAGAGAGTTTAAAGAACACAATCACAGGTTCCACCCTAGGCCAGGACTCTAACTCTGGAAAGCCCTTTCACTGATATAGCCAAAAGATAACTGGAGAACACTGGCCAAGTGA